TGCTCGCCACCCACGGAGGTGGTTCGCAGTTTTGTCCCCAGCCGACGCACACTTTTACCTCGCTAAGCCAGTAATCGGACTGATAAAGAGAAAAAAAGTTGGGCATGAGGCTAGCAACCTCCACCCCTTAAAAAAATAAACGCCACTGCTATTGAAACTTCAAAGCTATGGCTTGAAGCTCTATGTTCCACTGGGGATGTAAAGGAATAAACCAGAAGTCATTAGAAAACCAAATTGAAGAGGATAAATATGCTATATTTGAGTCTTTTCTGCATATAATCCAAGGCCACTGGTCGCCACTTGGGATTTCAAATAAATATTAGGAAAACTCGAAAGTGAAGCACCTCTTCATGAAGTGAATAGTGGTGATCAAGTTAGTTCTGGTGGTGGTGAAATGCTCACGATCAAATATCACACCTAGGTCAAGGCTCCAAAAAGAAATCTACTACTTCTCGCCGTGACTGCGTTAAGTCTAGAAGTATTTTATAGATTTTGGAATTTACATTAGAAAAAGTCATGGGTCACCATCCACGCCTGAATGGTAAAGTACCTTAACTGCTTCTGGCACCTAGTCACCATCTCAGCTGCTTTCGTCAATATTCCGCTGACTCACAAAAGACATGTAGGAGAACAATGGACACATTGCAAATATGCTCTAAAAGAGTTGGATGTCTGAGCATTCTTAATGATTATGGAAGGAGTATATACTGAACTGATTTATTTTGTCTTCTTCACAGACTTCAGGAGCAACAGTTACAGCCTCTGTTACTACGTTCCATTTTTCAGAGCTTATTCGAAACAGTGCCTATAGCCCAAAATTCTCACTATGCCAGTTCGGTGTTGGCATATAATAAAGAGGCCATCCTCATTCATAATGAACAACCGAATTATAACATACAGGGAGCGTAATTGCTCAGTGGTTGATCTCATGACTTGAAGATTCTGGGCCTGATCCTTGGTAAAGTGGTGGGTGCGACTATCAGTAAGTAAGATTGTATCACCGTACGTTTTAATCAAATACATTTATTCTATGATGGAATTATATTCTATCGCAGTACATGAGTGCTATTCCTATTGGCAATACACCGTTTAATAGACAACTTCAAATTTGCTGAGATGTCAGAAGGTTTAAATATTCCCAAGAAATTCCTGGCATCGTTCTATATGTCATCATTAATTACAAATATCCCATAGGAAGCAACTGTAGAAACTTTGTTCCGACACCAAAACTTTCGTCCATTGGATGAAAAGGAATTCAAATGCTTTTTACCTATGCGCACTGAGAATGTGCAGTTCAAGTTCAACAATTTCATGTGCAGCTAGATTGATGAAGTTGAGATGGGTAATCCATTAGGTCCATAATAGCGGATACTTTTATGGGATACTTTGAGCACACAAGCTTGAAACACGCGATAGGTGGAGTGACATGCTTACTATGTGTATTAACATTAAAAAAAGTTGTGTGAGTAACTTGATATGATTATGAACAATAGTTTGTGCTCGAAAAGTCATCAGTTAATATAACTGTACAACACTGTGTGACTTATCAAAATAAAATCTTATCCATAATGGAATTATGCTCTACCACAGTACCCAAGTTTTTTACTTATATCAATGCCTACCGTATGCCTAACCTACTTTACATGGCACAGATGAATAGAAATTTCACTACGAAATATGAACGAAATGGAAAATTTCTCACAGACATTCTTCCACAACATTGTAAAACTTTGCTCTAAGGAAAGACTTAACAATGATATCGTCATCATTCAAAAGTGTTTAAGCGGCAACAAGTATCCACGAAATATCAATAATGAATACAAGGGTACATCAAAGATAAAAAAGTAAAATTTTCTATAGAGTTAAGATGAAACTGGTCTCCTCAAAATTTGGATTAACAGCTGGTGAGGTATCTGGAAGACCTAAATGTGCAATAAGTGCTGCCCTCAGACTAACTTATCCAGCTCCTAGATTAGCCACAGTTGATTTGTCTTTTTAACTGATGATAATAATTTGATTACTAAGAACAGTTTAATTAATTGCACTTTTAGAATGCATTTTTTTGAAGTATCAATTTTGAAATTATACAGGACAGGCATAGATCAGGAGGCTATGGATTTCTTTTATCACGCATTAATCAAACTTTCATTCTTTAGAGATGTCTCCATGGCATTATTATAATTATTATTACTGTTCGATTTTGTTCCAAGTGGAACATAGAGATTCAGCAGCACATCTATGCTTTGTCCTATTCCAAGCAGTCCTCTTCAACTGGGCCCATGATGGCCATAGTCTCCCATTTCCTCCTTACACTATCTTCTCCATGTCACCCTCAAATCGATGCCCAACTAGTCGTTTCCCATTCGGCTTCCACCAAAAGAGACGGTCTGACGTGTTCCCAATCCATCTCCATTTTCTTAGGCGTATTTGCTGAGTAATTAGTTTCCTATTGGTTCATTCCTAGAGCTTTCTGTTGCTAATTCCTTCTGGTCAGCCATTTGATCTTCAGTATGAAGCAAAAGCAGGCGCTGATGAAAGTCCTCAGCAGACCATTGGAAGTGCTTTTAGCGACTCACACACCAAGTTTCTGAATGAATTGACATTGGTGTTGAGAATGGGAATTTCGCTGTGTATGGAAGATTTCTAAAATGACTTCAGAGTAATGAAGGTATGTCTAGCTTTTCTGATTCTGCTTTTGGCATCCTCATCCGTGCCGTCCGCCTATGATTAAAATGATGCTTCTTAGATAAGTGGAAGAAGTAGCTTATTTCATTTTTATTCCGTCAATAGTGATTGGTGTTACTTGCTGTTGGTTGATTATCTTCATCGCCTCCGGCTTCTATATGTTCACCTGGAGTTCTGTCTTCTCTGCTTCTTCAGTTAGTTTGTTGGTTTTGCCTATAAGTCTTCGATTCTGTGTGTGACACCAGATCTTCTATAGTCTTCTTATCAACACCAAGTTGAATCGTATTCGCGTTTCCACTGGAAATTGAAATTACTGAGTTTACGATATATGTGATTTGCTTCACACCATAAATGACGAAGGGAACTGCAATGAAGTCCCCTTTTTGAACTGTGTTGATTGTAAACGGCCAATTAATTTGAAAATTGAGAATCTGACTGAATGCACTACAAGTTCAACTAAGCAGCTAGCCAGAATAGGGATGGCTTAAGCTGATTCTGCTCTCTGAGATGAGCCAAACCATATACACCAGTGATCAGCTGAGGCCTAGATTAGTGAAAGAGCATTTCAGTGTTCAGATCACTTCAACCTAGCTAGCAAGCACTACCGGTTATTTTGCGTAGTATGCAACTACTCATATTATTCAGTTAGTAGTAAACAGCTTCATTCATTTAGGCATTAAGCTGAGCCAATAAAAGCTTTTCATTTTTCAACTAGTCAACTGGACTGATTGAATATTGGCAGTGTTGACTGATTTTACAGCTGGATTTCGAATAGTTGAAGGAGGCGCAAAACTTGGCATTATTTAGAAATTACACCGATTGAAGTAAAAATCTACTAGTGTCTCTAAGCAGCGGGCTAGTATTAGAGGGGTTTGAACCGATTTGTCTATTTGATTTGAGTTGAACGGATTACTTTGCAGATGAGTTCTTCTCCTAAATACCTAACTGACCATCCATTGTTTAGATTACGACTATCAAGCCAGAGGTCATTATTGTCTGAATTGAGTAACTGTCAATTACTCACTTCCCTCCCAGTATGCTTAAATGAAGAAAACAAAGCAAAACGTGTTGTTAAACGAGTGTGTCTTGCTTCCGGTGGAAGAACACTGAGTAAAACGACAGGCTGTCAGTCACTATTTTACTTGAAGATCCTGCACGAAAAGTTAATATCTTCCAATTAAGTACGCTGAGAATTCTGCATTAGCACACTGTCTATAATAAATCTGCTTTTAATTTTACTGTAAATCAGAGGGGTATATCCCCACTTGTGCATCAGTAATCCAACGGCAGAATGTGGTCAGCCACGCGGAGGTCCGGGCTCATTTCCGGCCGACACGCTGCTAAACCTAACCTAGTTTTTTACCAATAATAAGGTCGAAAAGAATGTCAAAGCTGGCGGACAGTGAATCCTTTGTTTATTCAAACTGGCTTTCATTTGGCGAGATACAAGAAGATTTTTGTTGCTTAATCGTATAATGATTGAAAGAGGACTGGAGAAATATGATCAGAAGTATTACTGTACATTATATTAACGCTTATTTACAGACTTTGCACGTAGTCAACTGTAGCTCTGTTTTGTCATCGGTGGAAGAATAAACAATCGTATTACCCTACCGTTTCCTGTTGTTCCGCGTTGGTTACCCTTGCATAGTATTCTGAAACCAGCGAAAGGTTCAGGATATCTGAGATTGTGACAACTGACGGAGAAGGTTTAGCCTGAAGCTAGCAACCCTATACAGTGAAAACAACTCCAACACCTCTCCTGAAATTTCAAAAATGTGAAGCTATATATTCCCCACAGAAGTCAAAGGATGTTTTTAGAAAGTGTCAGGAAGCGATTAACACCAGCTTGAACTAGCTGACACCATTTGAAACAAGCTTGTAATGCAATTGAACAACCTAGAATCCCCACCTTATGCAACCAATATAACTGATTATTTGTTGTCATAACTTTTCGAGGTACGTAATATTTGCGAATCAACGTACCTTTGCATTATAAAATCGATTTTTTTTCATCTACAAAGATTAGTCTATATTCTATCTTCAGCTAAAAGGGGTTATGCGGGGGAGGGGTGGTGGTAACTTATTTGTAATCAATTTTGATCTTCGGTTGAGTTGCCAAACGCTTTTCAATGTTGAATCGACAAATCAACAATATTATCACTGACATCACAAAAGTATGCCGTCGGTTAATAGATGTACTTTGAACCGCTAATTTATGCTTATTTTCTTGTGATTAATTAAATCAAATTAAATTTAAATGAGTAATATATTGAGAATAGCACTTGTTTTTTTTAACAGATAAGCATGTTCCGAAATAATTTGCCGCCATCAACAAAAGTTACACACAAATGTTATTGAATCGAATAAACAAAGTTAAGGAAACACGTACAAAGAATTCAGTCATCCAGGAAGGTATCCAGTAATATATACCTCAAATTCCTCATTATTTATCAATGATTATGACATCTTTAGAAAGACAAGTTGTTTATCCGTATTGCGCATTTTAAAATCATTAAAAGTAATGATAATAATAATAGTAATGATAACAGCAGTAGTAATAATCTATGTATAATGTATGATTGATATAACTAAGTACAGAGTTTGAAATATACACGTGATAGCTTGATAAACAGACACACAAACAAAAACACACGTACACACACATTTACACATACCGATTATACACACATACATTGCTGCATACACACACACAAACGTAAGAAAAACGGTAATCAATTGTTCAATGTTATCAATTGTATGAATAGCTTATTGAAACAATTAATTGGTACTATTGAAATTTATATGTTCAAAATACCTGTAAAACAAGCAAATGAAAAAACAAAACAGTTAAAGTGATATACACACAATGAATTCATCAATAGTAGAATTGAGACAGACAACTGATTGTAAGGTAAGGAATTTCAAGTAGGCGTTTACCTCTTGATGAATGCAACTGTGTCTAAGTACTGTCAATCACAGTATTTGATATATATACATGTATATACATATATTCAAATAATAAGTGTGGTATCTTTCGGTTAAAGATAGAAACTATAATCATGTTAAGACATTGAGTTAATGGCTAGGCAATTCAATTATTCAGCGGTTGCAGGATTTCATCATGAGTTGACAATGGTTAGAGAAGCATTGGAAAACCAGCTTGGAGTGCTGGACAGCTGTTTCGTCCTAGTCTGGGACTCTTCATCAGAATGCACCCACCGCCAGGGTTCAAACTCAGGACCTTCCGATTACAAGGCGAGCTCATACACCATTCAGTCACTCGGATCCGACCCAATGGCCAGAGCATGAATTCCAGCTTCTGCCAATTCACGATACAGCGCGACCACCAACCAGTGTCATCGGGAGCATTAGTCCTCACGCCCGACCTGCTGTACCCCACAGGTCACGACTTGCCACTACAACCCCAGGTAACTAACTACATAAAAAGGACCAGTCGCTAGTGAGCATCTCATCGATATTCAGTTATTGGTTTGTAGAGATGAAATTCTGTAGCCAATCAATCAAATACCTACGAACCAATAATTGAATATTCAGCGGGTTTTTTTCATAAACGGCTACCATTTTGCTAACCAATGAAACCTACACAGAGTAGAGTAGCCGTTCTTTCCTATCTGTAACTTTTCCAGTGAGCATGGAATTCTCAGCATTCGGTACAGTATTGCATCTAACTTACTCGGTAACAATAACAACAACAATAAAAACATTACAGGGCATAGGTAACCAGAATTGATAACAGCAGTATCAATAAAGTTAGATACGTGCAAAAAGTATCGAATGTTACTAATAATATTAGAAATACAAAAATGATAAGATAATTGAAACGGTGTCACCATACATTACAAATAGGAGGAGATAAAAGAGCCATTTATTTTGCTTATTACACAGTAAGCTATCAGTTTCATGCTTAACACTCTATCTATCATATAGAATATGAACCGAATAAGGTATCGAGGTGAGATGTAAGGAGAGCGTTGTGAAAAAGAGGGTGTCTGGAGTCAGACAATGTGGATTTAGACCATTTCTCACACTAATTTAGGTGTCTATCGACTATAGGGGTCACAATCCGACTTACTGGCACCCTACTTGCCTTACTTACAACCTTTAATACTCTTCGCAACATGACATAGTCTTTTTTGAGTGGATAAGAAAGACTAAGGAAGAGCAGTAAAATGCAATATATGTAAGATGCAAGAGTTAACATTTTTCTAGAAATTGGCAAGATATGAGATGACTAAGAAAGGTCAGAGGATAAAACTATTCCAAAGTATTTTATGCTTGACTTAGTAGACACAGTAATGGCAAAATATAAAGACCTTATATTGACATCTCCATCTGAATGTACTGTTTGCATTCTGCTTTTTACCATGCTATTTTATATTTGTCTTTTTTCAAGGATCTTTAGTTCCCTGTCTTCGCGACTTAATCCGTCACTCTGCTATTCAAGATACTTATAGAAGACACCAAGTATGTACAACATACCACTTATGACATTATAGTCGGTAATTTAAGTGATAATGTCAGATCACTTCTGCATGAGACTGGGCTCAGTGTCACCCCAAGTAAACTCAATGATAAACCTTTAACTTTAAAACGCCCAACGAACATCATCTCTATTTCACGTAAGAACACAATGAACACATGTTCTATTAAGCGAAACACACTGGCCATGAATTTAAAAAAAAAATTAGTGAAGAGTTGTTGGAATTTTAATTTTAGGCTTTTAGGGATTTTAGGACTAGTCAAAGTAGATTTCGTCACGATTGGACATCAGCCAGAGACCTACTACAAACGAACGATCATTATTAGGCTAAGAGTTATTCTGACAATCTCCATATGATCGACTGGATTCCTAACACCCTTCCACTGCTGACTCCCACCCCCCGCTGTGATCACTGGCCAACTATTTAGTCGTAGTTTAGGACTTTTTATTCACCTTATGAAGTTGAGGTTCCATCATAGTACGACTCATAATAGAGTCATGGATGTCTACTGATGACGAGTTTCAAACCAGGACGAAACAGTTGTTCAATGCTAGCAATGATTTCAATCATATACAGGGAGTTAAAGTAATTCTTTTACCCTATTGTAACACAGTACGCAATAATAAAATTGAAAATGACGAAATCATGAAGATTTAAAATATTGACGTCATGAAAATTGCATTACCAACGAGTATAGTTTAGTTTATACAGAATCAATCAATTAAATATATAAGACTATTTCACGTGAGTAGGTAAACACAATCAAAAGAAAAAAACACGTAAAGTGATCAAATTTATCAGACATATTAACTTCATTCCAGCCACACACACACACAGCTTTTTTTTTAGATAACTTGACTACTGCCACTTTTTCTAAGATATTTATTGTCTCTTAAACAATTTTCAATGATAGCAAGTTCATTATCGGGTCTTTCCTTAGGACAAATTTCTACAGTGCTGTAGAAGTGTGTCCGTACGAAACTTCTTTCCATGAGTGTCTGGTGTTAAAATCACTTCAATCTAACTTAATAGGCACACTGCTGTTTGACATGGACAGTTTCCAGCGACTCATAAGCAATTGCTTGCTTTGGGTGTTTAACAGCTTTCAATGAAGGTCCAAGATTAAGTAAAAACAGTTTTTCCATTACTTTTAAAAACAGTGAGGTAATAGCAGTAGGTCTAAACTTAACGCATGATCCCACTTGATGATCTGGACACAAGAACCACTTTAATGTCTTTCCTGTGCATGAGAGTCGTGTAGATCTGCTCCATAGAGAGAAACTTTTTGACCTCGAGTATGCAGACAATATGATATTACTGTGCGATAGCATGCTGGCTGCCCAAATCTCACTTAATCAGTTGGCTATAGGTGTCTGTAAGTATGGTATGCACTTTCCGCCGTCTAAGTGCAAAGTACTGTTACAAGACTGGCAAGAGCCTGTACCTGCAGTCACTCTTGCGGGTGAAACTCTTGAAGTTGTTGATAAGTTTGTGTATCTGGGTAGTTGTGTGAGTGCTGGCAGAGGGTTGACGGGTGAAACTTCCAACCGTATAATGAAGGCTAGGGTGGCATACATCAACTTCAGCCACCTCTGGCGCCGTCGCGTCATTAGCCTGGCTCTCAAAGGTCGGGTATACAATGCTTCAGTGCAGGCTGTCTTGCTCTACGCCTGTGAAAACTGGCCTTTACGAGGTGAGGATGTGCGGTGACTCCGCGTGTTCAATCATCGCTGTCTCTACAAGATTGCTTGCATTCGATAACATCATCGTGTAAGTAATTATTCTGAGGTTCGGCGGCGGGTGTTTGAACACAGTGGAGATCACCACTCACTGAGTGTCGTCATCTGGAAACACCGGCTCCGGTGGCTTGGACATGTGCTGTGAATATCATCCCAGAGGCTTCCGTACAGGTCTCTGTTCGCTAGCCCTGGGACGGGGTGGAAAAGGCGAAGAGGTGGTCAGTCAATGACGTAACGTCGTGGGATGAAGGATGTTTGTGCTAGATTAGCATCGGTTGGTGCGTCACGACTCCCTGGTTGGGGTTCGCGAGATAGCCCGAATCGATGGCTCAAAATGTTATTGGATATGGCCAAGAATCGTAATCAATGGCGAAAGTGTTGAAAATTCCTTCTTTCTTCCCTTCCTGATGATAGTTGACGAATACTGCTTGAACTTGTTAAGTATGACTGTTTTCCTTCCAGATGAAGTTCTTTACCTATTCTCTACTTATATTTTTTACTTTTGAACTATGTTGTTTTATTATTATTGTGTGGTGCATCTTTCTTGGTGCCATATTGTACCAAGCTTTTTTCTGAGTTTAAAAATAATTAATTAATTAATGTCTTTCCAAGGAGCAGGCACAATATTTGTGGAAAGTGATTAATTGAAGACATCACTGAGAGGATGACGTAAAATATTCGCACATTTTCTCAGGATGATAGCAAACCCACCATCTGGACCGAAGGACTGGGTAGGCATCAAGGAGTGAAGACATGTTAGAACATCATTTGCAGTAAAACCATATAAGCAAAGATAGTTAAGACAGTAATAACTTGTTAAAGGCTTAGGAGAGGGGGGAGGTGGATGTACCAATTTCTTCTGAAACAACAAATTCGATTTCTCCAGGTGTTTGTTAAAGATGAACTAGTGAATCCGAATACAAGAATACAAACTGACTGTAAAAATACACGATATACATATATATATACCCCATACTCAAGTGAATTGGCAATCAACAAACACACTACTATTGGCGAAATTTACCAGCTAATAAAAAGTAAATCATCACACGACAAGAAAGTCCGAATTCCAAGTTAATAAGAATACGATCAATAGAGACGTAGATTAACAACCAGTGACGATAGTGGTTGCCAGGAGATACAATTACATCATTCATGGAGAATTTAAATCAGTCGATTTTATACTAAAACCTGCAGTGAAAATGTTGTCGAGAAGGACTTCGCATTTAAATCAATCGGCTCAGAGAACACAATTCATTCAAAATAAATACTAGCTGGAATATGCTTGATGACTTTAAACAACTTTATGCTCATTAACTACAAGTTGTGCTAAAATAGAGGTACATGCGGAACTTTGTTAAGCAAAGGACAAATAAGGTCTATTCGTAGCCCTCTGTTTAGCTCATCTTGTAGATACTGAACATGAAATTAATGTTAACAAAGTATTAGAAGTTAGATATGACGAAAAAGATTTGTAGGGTTTATTTGCGAAGCTTCCACTGCCCTGCTAGACAACATCTTCAGTGCATACTTCAGTTTGATGAAATGAGCTTTTAGATTTCTCCATGAGTTTA